AAAACAAGCCTAAATCATCACCCCTCCCCCACCAACAGCTGGTATGTGCTGTCCAATAACATGCCAAACATCTTGGCCTTGTGTGTCAAAAGGGCATCGTACAGAAGTACTGTGGTGCTTTCAGAACATGCAAACATGAGGGCTTTCTCCTGGAAACTTCCCACTGAACAGTCTTTCTCAGTGCAGAATGATGGAGTCAAGCTGTTTGGAGAGGCCTTTTCCAGATTGATGGACAGCAACAGCAATGTCAGAGACTGCTAAACCTCTTGCGGGTAACCTGTGTTACCTACGTGTGATATAGATCGCAGGTTTAGCTTCAGGTAATAAGCTTTCCCTGGTGTGTGAGTAACACATACATAAACATGCTGTAAGTGGTAGCTGCAGTAAGTTACTCCAAATGGTTGTAGGTTGTGAGCAGAACAGTCACTGAAAAGCACAGCGCTGTGTTCAGTGTCACAGGAAAGAAGAAAACCTGTTTGTTGCTGAGGCGTCCCAACGAGTGCATGTTTGTTCCTGTTTAATATACCAGCTCCAGTCCTCCAGAGCTACCGTCCTGCAGCTTTTAGATGCGTCCTTGTCCCGACACACTGGAGTTGGACACGCCTGACCTACACTCATTCACCAGACACTTTTTTAGGTACACCTTGCTACGACTGGGTTGGACCTCGTTTGGCCCTCAGGACTGTCACGGATTCACCAAAGTGCTGGAAACATTCCTCAGATCTATGGCACCAATCTCTCGCTCCCCCAAAGATCTAACAAAAAGACCCCAGAGGAGTAGACTGAACTCCTTGCCATGTTCAAGAAAGCAGTCAGAGATGATCTGAGCTGTGGCAATAATAACTGCTACTAAGGTAGGATGGAGTCATGCATTCATGCAACTCTGACTCCACCCTCTGAATGCTGCAGCACTCCATGTAAAATGATTAAGCTCTTCAACATACGCTGGTTGCCATGAGTAGTTATTTGAGTTGCTGCTGGCTTTGCTGTTCCTCTGACTGGGATCATCACCCAGTAAACTGCTGCTCACTGGATATTTTCTCCTTTTCTAGACTGTTCTAGAATCTCGCCATGCTTAAAATCCCCTTTTGCCCCATTCTGATACTCGACTTGAACTTCAGCAGGTCATCCTGACCAAGTCTGCATGCCTCGATGCGCCGTGTTGTTTTTGTGATGTATGTGGTTTACCTGAGAGCAAGGTGAAGGTGACAGAATATATGCCGTTCTCCTTTGTGGCGCTGGTGCTCTCGGTGTAGGTGATGTCCACCTGGAACTTCACCGGCTTCTGGAAAACCGTCGGACCAGCTGTGGACTTGTACTCTGCCCGGAAACTGGTCTGAGAGATGACGCTGTGGCTCAGACTGGGAATCTGGGGAGAGAGACGGTGGGAGAGGGTAGGAGGGTGAGGTTGGTGGAAGAGCAAAGGCGGAGTGCTTCTGAGTCAGCAGCACTGGGCACGTAGACACAGACAACTTGCGCATCAGTTAAAACGGCAGCGTGGATGTAAGAGAAAGAGACGGGAGCAGAAGGAGACACTGTGTTGGATGTGCTACATCCTAACATGTGGTGACATTTTGATGCATAAGCGGCGGAGGCCACGCTAACACCGAGACGTGAACAGACAGCGAGCTGTTGCACAGAGCTGTTGTGGAGGACCAGCGTGGATCGTCACAATATTAGTCAGGTTTGAATCTCGTGGCTGGTTGGTGTACATGAGCGTTTGCATTTTTCTCCTGGACTGCTTCTATGGTCCTGCTTTGTGCGTTTCGCGCTCACTATAGCAGGTTTTTATCACGCTCATGAGGGAGCACCTTCACCTTATATTTCAGGCTTTGTAACTTGGGATGAAAATACAAAATCTATAAGTTAACACATCATGTTTTTTAAACGTGTGTATGTGAGAAGAAAAAAAATATCACTACTACTCCTGTTTGATTGTGCTTTATTTTGAAGGTTTACACATACACTGTGAGCAGTGTTGGGAAGTAACACAATACCAGCGTCATGTATT